TAATTTTTAAGAAAATATGCGAGTCGCTGAGCCATGACGACTTATTTTAATTCTTCTTTTAGTCAACAGATTTTATTTATCATTCCCTTTTGTTGATTTGTCACATTCTTTTTTCATGGTTTTCATGTTGGTACCGACGACTACCGTTAGTCTATTAAGTAGGCCTCGACGTGGATCAGATTTCCGGAAAAAATAAGTTTGATTTATTTTAAACGAAAATCTAATTTTCCAAGTTGCTTTGCTTCGAAAAAAATCGGATATCCGAGTTGATAGATATCCGAATTTTTTTTTGATATTTGCGGATATATATTTTAAAAAAAAAATAAAAAATTTAAAACACCATAATATTTTTTCAAAATTTTTTTTAATACTATAAGATTTAAACTAACTAATCAATAAATATATAAAATGAGTCTAATTTTATTCGATAAATTGTTTAAAAAATGAAAGATTAAAATCGTGAAAATGGAACATATATTTTTTATTTAAAAAATATATTTCAAATAAAGTTAGTATCTATCTATTTTTACTATAAATATATTCGTCAAATATATTTAAAAATAAAAAAATATAAATATACGTTATAAATCTATATTATATGTATATATAACTAATATACGGATCGGATCGGATATTTGAATTTTTAAAATTAGTATTTGTGATTTGTTTTGGTTTAGACGAATAATAAAGTTTAGTATTTGCTTCAATTTGATTCAAAATAAACATCCAGATTTTTTTGGATTGGATCAAAACGAATACCGAATCAGATCAAATTTAATGGATAATTTGTCCAGTCTTTGTATTAAGCCGTTTTATGAAATTAATATATATAGTTTCAAATTTAGTCTAAGAGAACTGATTTGACAAGTGTGGTTAAGAAACGGTCAAAATATAATAAAAAATGGTTAAGAACAAAAATATTATTTACTTACGCTAGATTCAAACACCGATATTTGCATTATGAGTGTAGGTTTATCCAAAACTCCATCCCCTAATTCCAATATGATATGGTATATCATATATTGTCTATTACAAAACATAGAAATTACAAATATCACAAACAAAAGTTATAATTAAAAGAAACTGACCATTTTATAATTTTTTTTTATTTTGTTTTAGTGCTCTCTATCTCCACCGATTTTGAAAACACTTATAGCATCTCTATTTGGGGTCTCTCATTG